ACAGAAGGGAAAGAGAGGGGGTGTCACTGGGAGGTCCCAGCATTTCAGGAGGAGGCTGAGCTCATCTGTTCAGTGCCTCAGTGCCCAGACATGCCGAAGACTGAGGCCGGACCTGTCGGCCGTGATGGAACCATCCGATAGTGCCAGCCATGGCTTCCAGATATTTCACTTGATGGGGAGAAAGGCTACCAAACCCCAAAGCAAGGGGTGGAGGGAAGGAAGGATGGAAAGAAAGGAGACTTTCCCCAGTTTCCCCCTCAGGGCCTCGAGGGGCACAGCCTCCTGTGAGAGGCATGTGGACTTGGAATGGGGCCAAGGCGCCACCTGTCCTGGCAGCTGCCCTGCCCAGGCACAGGTGAGAGAGCGCCGAGGAGAGGAAATGAATTGTATGTCCTGTCTGAGAGAGAGAGAGAGACTGGGTATGGGAATAAGTGTGACTATTCCCATGTCCCAGAGAGTCTGTGTAAGAGATAGTGCTCATGTTCACAAGTGAGTCTGAACAGATAGAAGAGCAAGTGCCTGTGTGTGAGAGCTGGTGAAGGAGCAAGTGTGAACCCAAAAGTACATTTGTGTGTGAGGGACACAGGACAGAGATGAAGTCAGGAGGGAGAGCGACCTCCGAGGAAGTAAAGCCAGGCTCTACGCCTACATCCCAGCCCTGGCCCCTCACTGCCAAACCTGCAGACTCTCTCTGAATCTCCATCTCCTGGGCCGTGACACTGTGTGTGTGTGTGTGTGTGTGTGTGTGTGTGTGTGTGTGTGTGTGTGTGTGTCTGTCTGTCTGTCTGTCTGTCTGTCTGTCTGTCTGTCTGTTTGTAGAGGTGGATGTCTTCCTAAGGGTCAATGGGATCAATGAGGGACCAGTCCACACTCAGGCAAAGGCTGCTCTGACTATTAGTGTTCTTTCTTTCACCCTGATGGAAGCCCTGGGGACCTTCTGCTACTGGGGAGTCAAACGAGGATTGTGTCACTCCTGGCTTGGGGGAACAGAACAATTATTTCAGGGGCACTGGGGAAGTGACCTTCTTGGTGGGGATGTCACTAGATGGGATCTGGAGAGGGATCAAGGTCTAGATGCTGCTGGACCAGCCTTCAGACTCGGATGTAGGAAGAACACATGGGCTGTTCCTTAACTCCTGCTTAGGTCCGACTTCAAGTCTCTAGTAAGACTGTGGTGGTTGAATAGGAATGGCCCCCATAGACTAGTGTGTTTGAATACTTGGTCGCTAGGGAGCGGCACTATTAGGAGGCTTGGCCTTGTTGGAGGAAGTGTGTCACTGAGGGCGGGCTTTGAGGTCTCAGAAGCTCAAGCCAGGTCCAGTGTGGCTCAATTCTATTTCTGCTGTCTGAGGATCCAGAACTCCAGCGCCATGTCCGCCTGTGCACCGCCATGCTTCCTGCCTTGATGATAATGGACTCAACCTCTGAACTGTAAGCCAGCCCCAATTAAAATTTTCCTTTATAAGAGTTGCCATGGGGGCTGGAGAGATGGCTCAGAGGTTAAGAGCACTGACTACTCTTCCAGAGGTCCCAAGTTCAAGTCCCAGCACCAACATGGTGGCTCACAACCATCTGTAATGAGATCTGGCACCCTCTTCCGTATACATAATAAATAAATAAACCTTTTAAAAAAAAAGAGTTGCCATGATCATGGTGTCTCTTCACAGCAATAGAAATCCTAAGACAAGGGCATACTGCGGAAAAGGAGAAAATCCATAGAAGTACAAAGAAGGATGGGCCGGCAAGATGGTTCAATGGCTAAAGGAACTTGCTGCTCAGACTGAAGACCTGGGTTCAATCCCCAGGAACCACATGGTGGAAGGAACCAGCTTCCAAAAGCTGTCTTCTGATGTCTATATGAGCTTGAGTATGAAGCATTCAAGAGTGCACACTTGCATGGGCGCGCACACACACACATACACACACACACACACACATACACACACACACACACACACACACACACACACTGTAATTTTTTTTAGACACTCAAAAATTTGCTTTGGTTTCTAGACAGAGTCTCATTTGGTTGTTCTGGCTGGCCTGGAACTTGGTATGTAGACCAGGATGGGCTTGAACTCATAGAGAACATCCACTTGTCTCTGCCTCCTGAACGCTGAGATTAAAGATGTGGTGGTCGCTGTTGTCACTATTGATGGACAGCTAGAGAGGCCGGCCATTTCTTCTTGTACTTGTTGGCTTTGTATCTGTGATTCACCTATGTATGTTCTATGTCTATATCCTGTCGGTAATTTTTATTGTTTTGATTTTGAAAGTTCTTTTTTTTTTTTTTTTTTTTTTTTTGTTTTTCGAGACAGAGTTTCTCTGTGTAGCTTTGCGCCTTTCCTGGAACTCACCAGGCTGGCCTCGAACTCACAGAGATCCACCTGCCTCTGCCTTCCGAGTGCTGGGATTAAAGGCGTGCGCCACCACCGCCTGGCCTCAAAATTACACTTTTGAAGAAGCAACGAAATAATCTTACATTGGGGGTTGCAGCATTAGGAAGATTGAGAACCACTGGATTAAAGTCTCATGTAATAGCCAACTTTATTGAGAGCATTAGACAATTTATACTTGAGGGTTAGGAAGAGTCATCTGAGTAAATTTTACAATCACAAGGACAAGCCACATGCAGCAAAACCACGTTTTTCCATAGAGGCCTATGAATAACGACAACTGAAGTCCAATCACTCCTGACCACTACGCCCAGGAGAAGCACAAAAACACATTCCAAGACAATTCTGTGTTTTGAAAAAACAGATCACAAGACTCTTGTCTGTTTTCTCACAAGCACTCATACTTCTCACACTACTCCATTCTTGGACTATGTGTGTTCCAACAGGTCTCTGAGTTCAAGGCCAG